CCCCTTTCGTTTTTTTTTAAGTGTGAAAAAATAAGTTTCTCCAATCTTCTTGAAACTCTGGATTCTGATAGAGGGCCTTGGGACTTAGACCTGAGTGCCAAAATGGAGGCTCTAGACCCTTTCAGAGCTGAGATATTGAGATCCCACATAGCATTATGCCATTTTAAAAACAGTGGGTTCGTAGACGGTGGAATTATGGGATGGCGATTGGTGCTACGGACTCAGGGGCCCCAGCTGAGTGCAGGAAAATAGTTTTTATCATGAAAGAAACTTTAATTAAAATGTCCAAAAAATACACTACCCAAATCCCCATTCAATAGACTGCAGGCGGGATTGTGTCCAATTGCAGCTTATTGCATGAACGCTAGGGTTAGTACATTTAATAAATAGTGGGTTATTGGACGCAAATCTTTGTGCCTACATGGGGCTACTGAATTTGGCCAGCGTCTACAGATCCAGAGGGGAGTCCACATGTTGCCTGTGGGATGATTGCAGTGGTAGTGCGATTTTCAGAGCCATCAGGTCCCTCTCAAGATTCTCTCAGTCCACCCAGATCCAGGATCCTCTGAATCCTCCTCGCCTTCAGTGGAGGCTTGAGAAGATGATGAGGGTGCCACATCCACATCAGGATCTGATGCTCCTGAGTCTGCGGTCAGAGTGAGAAGATAACAATTCCTGCAGCTCGCTGGAGGGGTCAGGCTGCATAATCATCTCTAAAACTTCACTACAAGTCAAGCCCTTTCTCATGTTGCTTGCTGCTCTTCTCACAATCAAATGACAAGTGTTTATATTCACTTACTTTGTTTTTATTTAGTCTGCATTTGACACCATCAAAAGGCAGCAGCTGCATAAATACACTTACTTTGTTTTTGTTTACTTCATGGAGTTTTGAGAGCTGATGTGTATATTTTATTTTCTCAGACGCTCAAGGTGAGTTTTCACACACACACACACACACACACACACACACACACACACACACACACACACCACACACACACACACACACACACACACACACACACACACACACACACACACACACACACACACACACACACACACACACACACACACACACACACACACAGATATGCTATTATACTCCATGAAATCTCCATATAACTCCATGTAAAAGCCAGAAACTAAGCTTTTTTTTGCATAGGCCTGTCTAAAGGGTTAATGATTCCACCTGGTTATCAACAGTAAAAATTACAAATTTTACCTTTTCCCAACAGGGAAAACCACCAACAAACAAAAATGCATGATTATATGGTGTCATGGTTTTGCAATCAAAAAATGTGGTTATAATGGAAATCAATGGGGCAAAAACAGCCACGAACAGTAAATGAGGGAAAAAAAGTTGAAATCTGATGCTGCACAAAAACTAACAATGCATCAAACCCAATGTTGTTTCTAATCTTTGACATGCCCAAGGTAAAAAAAATCCAGTCCACAATCATATTTTATATTGAAAATAAGTCATTTTGTGTGTTTTTTCCCCAAATCAGTGACATCATTCATGAATTTGGCAATTAAAGAGTTAAAATCCTGAATTTTTTAAAACATTTAGTAGTTTTGATCAAGACTGAGGTTGATTAATAGATTTATGCAAAAAAAATGTGAAAAAAATATTTATCTAATACATTTTTACAGCAGGTTAAAGTAGTGGCTGTTTTCACCCACGAACATAACGAAAAGGGTAGTGAATTTGCCCAGAGTGTACTGTTGAGTTTTTGAGAAATTTCAAAGCATTTCCCAAAATTTGTGTAAAAATAAGATTTGTCACCAAAAATCATTCAATTTGCTGAAACACAGAAAAAGTTATGGCCAAATTAAGACTCAAAAATACCCCATAGTGACTGAAAACAGCCACAACAGCACATAAGGGTTAATTAAACATTGCCCACAGATCTGTATCCACTCCTGTGGTTGAGATTACACATTGATATTAGGCAAGAGTGAGATTTCTAAGACGCTGTATGATGTCAGAATGGTGTGGATGAAAGGTCAATCCGTCCACCTCCAGTCCCAGGTTTGCCGTTTTACCACTGCGGACACCATATCTCACCAAAATGTGGAGCATGTCTTCCTCCTGTTTTCAAACAGAAGAACCACGTCAAGGCATGTCTTCAGTCTAGTAATGCATTCAGTGTTAATGGCCTTTTATTTTAAGCTACATGTGGGAGTGGGAATTTTAAAGCAGGAAAAGTATTATTAAAATTTCAATCCCTAGCAGCCAGCCACTGAGGAGAAACAACATGCTGGACACAGAAAATATTCAGGCTAACAGGAAGGAATGTGAATACAGGGTTAACAGGCTGAATCCAGCAGCTGTGGCCGTGATGATTATACAGTATACTGGCAGAGGTACTGAAGTGGTCTGCAGTTCACCGCAAATGTAAAAATGGCCAGTGCTGACAGGAAGCAGCACTGCGACATGCCTAAAAGTTTTATACCAGTGGATTTCCATTTGAAAACAGTTAACAGTGTGATGTGATAAACGAGGTGAGACATGCATAAACCCTTGCAGTGCAGACACTCATGCTGAAACAAAACTGAGGAGAACAGATGTTTTAACTCTTTCCCGCCAATGACAGAATTTTCTGTAATTTATGAAATCGCTTTAACGGGAATTTCCTGTTTTCACGTGTTTAAAAACAGAGGCTCTGTTCTTTCTTTTGATTTACTGCATGTTCAGATATTCAAACAAAACATTCTGGACCAGAATAGTCTCACTGCAACCGGAACCGAACAAAGTACAGGGCTCACTGAGCTAGTCGCATTCAAAGCAGTATCTAGAGCACCTTACATGCTTACTATCCACAAAGGTTTGGATGAGTGTCTCTAAATCTGAAATCTTCTCTGTCAGTCTAACTATTTCCCTGCATTTATTACACGTGAAACCCTCACTGCTGACAGAGAAGGCTACGCTAAACATGTGACAGGCAATGCAAGTGACAATAACTGGAGAAGATGCCATGACTCACTGACAGATTTTATCTTACCACAGTTGTTTGATGAATTATTAAAAAAAAAGAGCATGAGAGAGAAAAAAAGACAACACGAATAAAAAGTTAACGAGTTGTGCTATCGATAGAGATTTAGATTAAAGGTGTGGTATAATGCCCTTTTCACAAGATGTAAAATAAGGCTCTGATGTCCCAGAGTGTGTATGTTAAGTTTTAGCTCAAAATATCCCGCAAATATTTTTATATAGCATGTTAAAATTGTCACTTTTTGAGGGTGAGGAAAAACGCACAGTTTTTGTGTCTGTCCCTTTAAATGCAAATGAGCTGCTGCTCCCGACACAGAGGGCGGACATTCAACAGCTTCTGTCCTTTTTCAACAGCTCCCACACACACACAGACTAAACATTTAAAAACGTTTAGCCTTTTATGTTCAAACCTGAGTCAGACAATAATGGAGAGACTCAAGAAGTGACATGTAGAATGCAACATAACATTTCTTAATGGTTAGTTGATGAATTTAGGTATCTTGTGGATCCCAAACCTGTCCTGGAGGACTATGAAGGTAGATTTGTGTCTTTATTATTCAATCAAAAAAAATGTTGCTTCAATCAAAAAAAATATTTTCAATTAAAAAAACCTTCACTTCAATGAAAAAAAAACTTTTCAATCAAAGAAAAAAAGTATTTGAATCCAAAAAATATATTTGAGACTCAAAAAAATACATTTGAACACTGCTTTTCTTTGATTGAAAATGTTTTCTTTGATAGAAGTCCGTTTTTTTTTGTTTAAAGCAACCTTTTTAATTAAAGTAACATTGTTTTTTGATTGGACCATATAATGGGTAGGACATTTGTGTCTTTATCATTCAATCAAAAAGAAGTTGCTTCAAACAAACAAACAACAGAATCAATACAAAAGTCACTTCAATGAAAAGATAAACATTTTCAAATATAGAAATCATTTTTGAATGCAAATAAAATATTTGAGACTCCAAAAATTGCATTTGAACACCTTTTGTTTTAATTGAAAATGTTCTCTTTGATTGAAGTAATCTTTTTTGTGTTGGGCCATACATGGGTAGGACATTTGTGTCTTAATCATTCAATTCCAAAAAAGTTGTTTCAATCAAAAAAAAATATTTCAATCAAAGAAAAAACTTTTCAAAAGCAAAAAAAAAATTATTTACCTCGTGTATAAAAAAAGTATTGAAGAGAATGTGTGTTTTCGTTTTTTTGTTTTTTATTTGAAGTGAAAAAAAATTTAGAATTTCAAATTGTTTTGATTGAATCCTTTTTTTTTTTTTGAAGTGCAAAAAGTTTTGAAGTTTCAAACTTTTTTTTGATTGAATCGTTTTGACACAAACGTTCCGCAGTGGCGCGGTGCTTCTCTGTTGGTCAGACATGTTTGATTGACAAGTGTCTACACCAACGACATCTTTCTGACAAAGAAGTCATGTTCGCCACTCGCCAGCAGCTTTTTTAGAGGGGATAAAATCTTTGCCTGGCAGGGGGATCTGCTACTCGACCGGCCACGGATATATGTGCCTTATATGCACTGCATTATATAGCGCCTGCCACTCGAACTTACACAATATTTACAGTAAATGCAGCGCATATTCCCCGACAGAACGGTACGCACAATAGGTCAATATTCACCATTAACCAAACGCTTTTCACCTGCCTAGCCACAAGATTTCTCACTGTTTACACCTATCAGACACTCCTAATGGTAGGCCTACACGAGAGCACACATACAGTACAATACAGATCTTATTTACACATTTATCATCTGATCATATATTTTATTCGTTCTTTTTGCCCGTATTGGAGCGCGTATAATAACGTGCAATCCATCTCTTATTTACCTTTTTGTCATCTTATATTATATTTTATTTGCTCTTTTTATGCGTATGGGAGTGCGCTCGCATGGCTCTATTAAGCGTCGCGCCGGCCACACCAGCCACACGATCTCTCTCTATTTACACCTAATGGTAGCTACACGAAAGCACACATAGTGCAATACAGATCTCATTTACCCATTTATCGTCTGATCTTATATTTTATTCGCTCTTTTTATGCGAACGGGTCGTGGCTCTAAGCATCGCCAGCCATATACCAGCCACAAGATCTCTTATTACACCCATCAGACACTCCGATTGATGCACATGTGAAAACAGACAGTGCAATCCTGCTCTTAAGTATCTTTTTTGTCATCTTATTTTATATTTGATTTGCTCTTTTTGTCCATAATGGAGCGTGCGCGTCACCTAGCGTCGCGCCTGCCACAAGATCTCTCACTGTTTACATGAGACACTCAGATGAGAGCAAATAAAGTCCAATCCATCTCTTATTTACCTTTTTGTAATTTTTTCTTATATTTTATTTGCTCTTTTTGCCCGTATTGGAGCCATCTTCGCAGTAGTGAACGCGCCGAGAGAAATGCTCATTTCATTTAAATATAATCTGAGAGTAGAATAATCTATTTATTTTCGTTTTGAATTGTTTTTGTTTAAAATTAGGCTAGACATTTCTACCTTTCTAGATGTAGCCTATTTATCATGTCTTTGAGAAACGTGCAAAGCAAAAAGTTCATGATTTTATTGCTATGCCTATGTTTGCTTTGCTTCTTATTTATTAAATCCTGGGAATTGGTTGATCAAACATTGATTAAAATCAAGATGCAATTTATTAAAAACGAAATTCACTTTAAAGAAAGGCTTTATTAAAAAAAAAACTTAATGGAGTGGTCAAAATCATTCTCCTTCAGAATGTCAATCGGAGAATCACGCAACTATGAGAAATATTGCGAAATCTTGTGACTGGCGCACCACGAAACGTGCTCCATTATGGGACAAACGAGCTAATAAAGTATAAGATAAGATGACAAAAGGGTAGCCTAAATAAGTGCAGGGTTGCGTTGTCTCTGTGTTTTCGTGCATCAATCGGAGTGTCTGGTAGCTATGAGAAAAGTGAGAGATCTTGTGGCTGGCCCGACGCTTAAGAGCCACGAGATGCGCTCCAATACGGGCAAAAGAGCGAATAAAATATAAGATAATATGTAAAAAAAAGTAAATAAGAGATGGATTGCACTTTATATGCTCTCAGAGTGTCTGGTTCACGTAAACAGTGAGAGATCTTGTGGCAGGTCGGGAGGGGGAGGGGGACGGGTGGGACATGTCCCCATAGATATGTATGCATGTCCCCACCACTTTTTGCCAGGGTCGATTTTGTACCCACCACTTTTGAAACATCTCGCGGCGCCTACTCGAAAGAGAAAAAAAATAATGAATGCGTCATTGTACCCAGCACTTTTGAAAATGCTCTTCCGAATACGCCTCTCCGTCCCCCAGCACATTTCAAACCAAACCAAACTGACGCCCGTACACAAGAGCAGGATAACACTGTCTGTGTGCTCTCGTGTATTAATCGGAGTTTCTGATAGTAAACAGTGAGAGATCGTGTGGCTGGTGTGGCTGGCGCGATGCTTAGAGCCACAAGATCAAATGATAAATAGATAATATCCTGTAGGGGTAAAAACTTGCTGGCGAGTGGCGAACATGACTTCTTTGTCAGAAAGATGTCGTTGGTGTAGACACTTGTCAATCAAACATGTCTGACCAACAGAGAAGCACCCGCCCACTGCGGAACGTTTGTGTCAAAATGATTCAATCAAAAAAAAGTTTGAACTTCAAAACTTTTTGCACTTCAAAAAAAAAAAAGGATTCAATCAAAACAATTTGAAATTCTAAATTTTTTTCACTGCAAATAAAAAACAAAAACAACGAAAACACACATTCTCTTCAATACTTTTTTTATACACGAGGTAAATCATTTTTTTTTTTTTGCTTTTGAAAAGTTTTTTCTTTGATTGAAAATATTTTTTTTTTGATTGAAACAACTTTTTTTGGAATTGAATGATTAAGACACAAATGTCCTACCCATGTATGGCCCAAACACAAAAAAGATTACTTCAATCAAAGAGAACATTTTCAATTAAAACAAAAGGTGTTCAAATGCAATTTTTGGAGTCTCAAATATTTTATTTGCATTCAAAAATGATTTTCTATATTTGAAAATGTTTATCTTTTCATTGAAGTGACTTTTGTATTGATTCTGTTGTTTGT